ATGTGTACATGTGTGTCTGTGCACAGAGATGTAGCGAAGCTGGCACAGGGTGCCCTGTGGAAGCTCTGAGTTGCACTGGAGGAGGGGTTACTGTCGCTGCTTGTGATTCAGCAGGTGAGTCACCCTGTTCCTGAGGGGCAGCCCTCGGTGTCACCTGGCAGTGCAGCAGTTAAAGAGGGGCGAGCGCGTCCTGCACGGCACCGGCACAACGAGCCACGTCTGCCCTCCGGGTCCTCGTGCTGTCATCAACAGAGCAGAAATCATGTGCAATCCTACTTTATCCAATTATCTTCTCCTGTAATTAGGCTCTCCTGGACTTGTCATGCCTGACTGCCCAGAGGGCAAATGAAGGGATTTTTGAGCTCTGTTCGTGTTCGTCCTGAGTGCTGCTGCAAATGGATGTCCAAGCAAGTTGCTCTAATGAGCAGCCTTTGATGGTGCTCGGGCTGTGGCGTGCCCAGACTAACCCTGACAGGTGCTGCTTCCCTGACCCCTTGTTCTTCTCTCCTGCCCAGCTGTGGTTACTGCTTTTTCTCCTTTCTTACCCTTAAATCCAAGGAGTTTGTACTTTGTGCTGGTCTCTCATCCTCTGCCCTCCCGTGGTGTTTGTACAACAGCTGGCACTTGGTAACTGGCAGAAATGCAAATACAGGATTTAAAGGTTGTTTCCCTTAGCAGCTAAGTTTAGGCAAACTGATGATTTCAGTAGTCTGTCCTCCCTTGGAGAGAGGAAGGGAGGCCCTGTGAGCTACACAGCAACTCAGAAATGGTTTAGCTTTTCATTTCAAGAGCACACTTCCTTTCATCTTTAAAGCTGAGCTTTTACCAGCTACATCTCTACAGTTACATCCCTACCAGCTACATCAGGACACAGTTCTGAGTAGTTTGGTTTCTGCTGCTAATTAATCCCAGGCAGGGCTTCAAATGCAGTTTGGAAAAGTCGAGTACTACAGGGTGGGGAAGAGAGCAACAGCAAATCTCTGCATAGAGAGGGGGTTACTTCTAACTTGGTGGCTTTGCTGAAGTGCTTGTCCTCTGCAATTACATGGTTTCTTGTGTGTCCAACGTTTCTGCCTGCTCCTGGAGCCACAGACCTTGCTAGAAGTGAGATGTGGAAAAAGCATCACAATGTCTAGGAGGGATGGCTGTTTTCTCCATAGCTCCTCTGTGTCGGGTAGCAGCTTGCTTTGCATTTTGCTTGAATTTGGGATCAGTTGGGATGTTTTCTCTCCGTGTGTTTTGCACTGTGAAAGAAAGGGAATCTGGCCTGTGCCCAGTCGGGGTGTTCTCTGCACACTTCAGTAGTTCTCATGTGAAGCGTGACCCCTTCCCCCTCTGCCTTGTCTCTGGTTACCAGGGATCCCCAATCTGGTATTTAGGTTTGCAGTATTTGCTTCTGAATAGCTGAGATGATGCACTGAAGCAGTGTCCCTGCCTCAAGTCTGGCTGTAGGGCCTGAAAATGTACAGCACAGATCTGGGCACAGCCAGGGTATGGACCCCCTCTGGACAGATGGGAAGGTACAATGAGATCTGTTTTTAACCAATTAATAGACTTGCCAAGGGGACATCTGGAGATCCTGAAGTCTTGCTCTTTCCCTGCTTCTTTCTTTAGGGGTGCTGTTAGTATCAGTGGGTGGGAGCCTGAGGAAAGCCCAAAGCAATCCAAATGAGTGGTGAGCCAACCACTTTCTGCTGTAGCTACTTGGTCTCTGAGTTAGCAGAGAAACAGGCTTGTCACTGTTTGCCAGCTGACAGTTCTTACAACAGTAAGGTTTTAGCCTGGGTAATTTTGCTTTCAGTATATTTTGATGTAAAATGGCTTTTTTAACTGTGGGCTTTCTGAACTGTCAGCATACAAGGCAGTCTCCACCACGGGTCCCTGATAACTGTGGTGTGTGCAGCAGCCTGTGGCAGGGGACACATCAGTGTTGTGAGCAGGAGTCACTTCTCAAAGCAACCTAAAGCTGGGAAGTGCTTGGTTTAGTTCAAAACAGGACCTGGGATGCTTTGACCTCTTTTGGCTGAAACAGTTTTGCCTCCTTTGCTGCAAACCAACCTCATTTTGCTCTTCAAGCTCACAGCTGAAGTTAAGGCACTGAGAGTGAACAGAGTGGTGATGAGAGGAGATGTGATTAAATGGGGAGCTGTGTGGTTGTTTCTTGCCACAAAGACCAGTGACCAGTTGTGTCTCAGTGACCAACAGCAGAGTGGAGCACAGCCTGCCTGCAGGAGCTGCACACAGACTGGATCTGGGCTCGTTGGATTGTGTTGGTTTCTTTCTTGCTGTCCTTGGCAGTGGTCCCTGCTGTTGTGCTGCTTTCTCTGCTCTGGGTTGTAGAAAGCAAGGGAGATGGAGGGCTTGCAGTCCCAGGACATTGCTGAGAAGGGTGGGGGACTTGGTCTGCCTTGTTGCTGTGCTTCAGTCATCATACCCCCAGCAGGATTATTGCTCCCATCAGGATCAGTCTTGACTTTTCATCACCCCTGTCTCAACTCCCCTGTGCAGTCACTTCAGATTCAGAAAGAAACTTTCTCACAGCAGAGTTAGTCACCCTCCTGAAATTGCCCCTTCTGGCATGTCTGAGATGCACAGTGTCTGTCCCCTGTTTTGTCTACCCAGAAGGTGTCTTAGAGATCACTGAACCATGAGTAGGAAAGGAATCTGGTGGGTTTGTAATAAGTTTGAGTTGGGAAGACGTAATATCTGAGTGGTGGCTCAGGTGAGGATCCAGGACCCCTGGAAGGCTTTCTGTGCACTGCTGGCAACGTGCCCTGAGCCAGGGCTGAGCGGCTTCTCTTGGCCGATAGTTGCAGATGGCACTGCAGTGATGCCAAATCCAGCAGACTCCAGGAGCTTCTGTCCTTGATGTGCTGCAAGCCTTGTCCATGGTGAAATGATCAGGGACCAGCACAAGGTGATGGGCTTGAGGGTTGCACTATGCTCTGGTGAAGTCCCTGCCTCTTCCTTACAGCATGGCACATCCCCAAGAGCCCCTGCCTCTCCTGGGCAGCCTGGCAGGACCAGCCTGTTGCAGGATGGGTCAGCCCTGCGTATGCAGGAAGCACGTTTGTCTTTAATCCTTTAATTGAGAGTTTCAGTAACGACTTTCCTCTAAAGATCAAAAGCCAAGGTACAGGTTCCTTCCTGCCTGGTTCCAGACATGACTGGGAAGATTTCAGCTTCACTGTGCATGGATCAAGAGAGAGGCGGGTCAGGGCTCTGTTGCTTTGCAAGGCAGGGCGATGGCAGGAGAGGGGGTTGCTGCTCTTTCCAATGTCTCTGTGCTGTGACTGTGTGGGGCTGAGAAGCCTTTTCCCTGAGCAGCTGCTGGTGTTTCTGAAGGAGCTCCGTGTGAGTAATGGGTCTGGCTGCACGCACGCCGTGCAGCTGCAGCTCAAAAGAGCAATGTGGATGGCTCTGGGAACTCCAGTGGAATCTGTCCCTGGAGTGACTCTGCTCGGTCTGCAGGCTACAGGCTGTGCTGGCATTTAGCTCTTGTACAAACAGCAACTACGAGGAGGCTCTCATAGCCATCCTTATCCAGGGACTGGGCAGCATGTGAATGAAATACCTTCTGCCCTGCCTCCCTCTGTCTCCAGCAGAGTGAGCCTGGTTCCTGCTCTGTTTGACAACCATGTGCCTGATAGGGATGCTTGCATAAAGCTTGGGTGGATTTTCTTGGTGTCTTGAGTGAGACACTCAGAGTGCTTTAGCTCTCTGAGTAAAGATTGTCACAGTAAGACTGCTCAGGAAGCGGAAAATGTAAAAACTGGTCACTTTGTTCCTGGCACTAAAACATGTGTTGTTTTTCTGCAGATACACAAGGCCTTGACAGGTCAAGTGCCTTAGTGTGGGCAGTTGGTGGAAGATGTCAGGCAGCCCTATCCTGGGTGTTTTCCTTGCCTTGTGCATCTGATCTTAGCAAATAACTCAGTGTGTTCACTGATGAATAGTAAAGTTCCCTGACCAGGCCTGTGGCAAGTGGTCACATCTTACTCTATCATTAAACCTTGTCATCATCCCTGCTTTATGGAGAGATGGCTAATGTCAGATGTTTGCTTGTCTTCTGATTTTGATCAATGACAGACAGGACTTGGTGCTCGATGCTTCATTAGCCCCTCTCCTGCCATGGTTAAGGCACTCACTCTTCCCTTCTGTCTGTCCCATTGGACCACGTTTTGTCACACTCCTCTTGGTTGACTGATGTGGCAGAGCTGTTTCAGCAAGGCACTGTTTTATGCACCACTGCTGGAGTTAAGCCCCACGAAGCTGCTTCCAGCATTCCTGGAATATTAGAAATAAATTGCTGAGCTCAGTATTCAACTAACCAGCACAAGCATGTAGTGCAGTGTCAAGCAGAGCCAGGCAGGTAGGCAGGGCACAGCTCACCACGTGGGTGCCAGAAATGCTCAAGCTGCACAGTCTCAGATTCCTCCTTGCTGCAAGGATGGGTCAGAGCACTTGGGGTGATCCACAGCCCCCAGCTCTGGTGCAGCTCCAGGCTTCTGTGCTGTCAGCTCCAGGGAAATAGGGTGGGGAGCAGCAGTCCCATTCCCTGCAGCTTACTGGTGCCCCCTTGAGCTTGTCCTGCATGGCAGTGGTAAGAGTGGCTGGGCAAAGGGGGAGGGAGAGCTCCAGGTTTCATACTGAGCAGAGTCACACCGAGGTGTGAATTCCTACAGTCTTAGCAGCAGCTTCCCCTGGGCCCCCCAGCCCAGAGAGGACAAACGTGCCCAGCAGTGTGGGTGCCAGCGCCACTGGGACCTGGTGGGGAGGTGGGGCTGTGGCAGAGCAGCCAGCACAGCTGAAGCCCTTTGCATAAGGGGCTGTTTGTTTTGCTGAATTGTTAAGCCCCATTGACAATAGCAGCCCCCCCCTCACACTGGAACTGTGATGGCCACACACTGATCCTTTCTCTTGTCTTCAGGCACTGGAATTAGGGTTATTCTTCGCTGAGTCCCTCTGACCGGCTGCTGCTTTTTGTTCTCGCTCTGCAGGCGTACGAGTGGGCCTTGGAAGGGATGCGACACCTTGCCTGTGTCAGCATGGAGGACTGCAGCTCCCCCGAGCACTGTGCAGATGTGATCAAGTGCCTGGAGAGTTACAAGGGGCAGCACCCCGACATCAGCACTGCCCGCTTCCAGGAGATGAAGGACTTGGCCTGTGAGCTGAAGAGTGACAAGGGGCTCAAGCAGTGGAAATTTGCATGGTCTAAATGTCAGGAGACCAAGCTGGTTTTTGAAAAGAAACTCGAAGCAGCCTTGAGAACAAGGAAGTCTCTGCTGTCAGACCGCAGCCCAGCTGCTGGGGAGCAGCCCCAGGCTGGCAGCGAGGCTGGCAGTCTGTTCCACTGGAGGCACTCTGAGGGAGCCACCTCCAGGTCCCACTGGGACAGGACTTACAGTGCATCCCACTGTTACAGCAAGTCCAACTGCTCTCTGGAGTGGACTAAGGAGAAAGTTCCCTCGCCCTCCCTGAGCTGCCCCGGTGATGTTGGTGCTGGGGAAGAAGTTGCCAGCCAAACTGCCCTCAGCCCTGGCCCTCACTCAAGCAGAGTTTTTTTTGCCAGCGGGGCCTGTAAGTCTCCAAAGCTGCCTGAAGAACAGCCAAACCTCGAGAGCATATTAGAAACCTCGGAGGTGAAGCCACCCTCTGCATCCACGCCAGTCCCTGGGAAGCTGCCTCCCAGGAGGGTGCTCCGGAAGGCCCAAAGCTTTGACCTCCCTTGCGGGGAGAGCCTGTGGTCGAGCTGCCAGAGGAGCGAGCCGGTCAGGTACGGCAACACCGGCGTCTTCATCAAGGGGCTGGAGGTGAGCAGCACCGAGCTGGTGGACAGGACGTTCGCGCTGCGGCAGCCGGCGGCTCACAGCTGGGCTGCAGACTGCCTGCTCGAGGGGCACAGGGGCTGCCTCTCCGCCTCGGAAGCCAAGAGCTGGGGCAGGTAAGTGGCTGGGACGTTTGGTGCTCTCTCAGGGTGGTGAAAAGGCAGCCAGCAGAGATGTGGGGAGCTCTGTAGAGCTGGTTACTTGAGCACTGGGTACGGGGTGGGTGGCTAGAGGTGGGTGGCTAGAGCTGTGTCTCTGGTTCCTGCACACGTGTGTGGTGCTGAGCAAGCACACAGGGATGTCCCCACATAGCCTGACACCTTTCTCGGTGGGGAGGCAGAGAAATGGGATCTGTTGCTCTTCCCTCACAGTGTGATTCCTCTCAGAGGGGAAGGAGCAGTTCCCAGGCAGGAGACCCAGGAGAGAGAGTCTCTCAACCTTGCTGGCATTGGAAGATGAGGGTTTGCAGAAACACTATTCAGGGACCTAACAAAGCAGGGGTACAGGTGCAGTGGGGGAGCAGAAACATAGTGCATTGTCCCACATACTTTTGGGCAGTGCTGGACTGAGACTGGCAGGGAGGCATTTCCAGCACCTTGTAACAGTAACTGCACAGGTAAGAGAGTCTTTGTGTTTGTTCTTTGGGGTTGAAATTTCTGGATGTCCAACAGCTGACTTTTGTGCTCTTCTTTTCCTTCTCTGTCCTTGATGGTCTCAAATTTGTTGTCATACTTCAATGTGCTTAAGCTGTGGAGAGGCCAGGGATGTGAGCTGTTCTTGATAGGGGGTCTGCAGGCAGGTCTTTCAGCTGCTGTCATTGGAAAAGATTAAAATAAAACTAAAAATTAATGGCAGAGATGAGAGATGAGTGCTGGATGCAAGGGGACCACTGTTACTGCTCTGAGTGAGATGGCTGGGACAGTGAAATCTTCTGGAAGGGGGCTCCAATATCCTAGGGATATCCAGGGAAGCTTATGGCAGGGAATGAGCAGCAGCAGCCTCCCCGTCCGTGGGTGCTGAGGCAGTCCTGCTGTGCTGTCCTCTGAACAACCAGAGGAGTTGGCTTGGGGGAAAGCTGAGAGGCAGGGGAGGCAGGGACACGTTGGAGGAGTTATGTTTGGTGCTACACTGCCTCTCAGTGGCAACCTCGAGTACCTAAGAGGCATCATTAGATGTGTGGAGCAGCCCATGCTAGGAACTGCTGTTTGCTGATGAGGTGTTACACGTTTTGTTTCCTGCTCTTGCTTTTATGAGGACAAGGGATGTCTGCCCTGCTGAGCTTGGATCAGGATCACAGGCAACCTGAGGCTCACTCTCCCTGAATGGGAAAGCTGACAGGGTTTCTTAGAATCACAGAATATCCCAAGTTGGAAGGGACCCACAGGGATAATTGAGTCAAACTCCTGACTCTGCACTGAACAACTCCAAGAATCCCCCCGTGTGCCTGAGAGTGTTGTCCGAATGCTTCTTGAACTCTGTCAGGCTTAGTGCTGTGAATGCTTCCCTGGGGAGCCTGTTCCACTGCCCGACCACCCTCTGGGTGAAGAACCTTTTCCTAATATCCAGCCTAAACCTCTCCTGACACAGCTTCCTGCCGTTCCCTTGGGTCCCGTCAGTGCTCAGGGTCAGAGCTGTCACAGATAGTTGTTAATATGAGCTTGGACTGTGCTAAGGGATCATCTCATCTCTGTGCTGGGTCTCTGTAGAGGTAGTGCAGTGCTCTGCAGGCACTCTGGCTGCCGTGGCCCTGCAGCAGCCTGGGTCCCTCCAAGGCTGTGTGTGTGCTGTTGCAGCAAACTGCGGCACATCATCGACGAGATGGTGACCACGGAGCGGGAATACGTGAGGTCGCTCCGCTACATCATCGACAGCTACTTCCCAGAGATGGAGCGCCTCGACCTCCCCCAGGACCTGCGCGGGAAGCGCAGCGTCATCTTTGGCAACCTGGAGAAACTCTATGACTTCCACAGCCAATACTTCCTGCGGGAGCTGGAGAGCTGCTGTAACCACCCCCTGCGGGTCAGCCACTGCTTCCTGCGACACGTAAGGCATCATCAGCACCTTCCCCCCGGGGTCGGGTTCCCCCAGGCACGTGCTTGGCTCCAGAGCCCAGCAGTGCCCATATATTTGGTATGTTAGTGGGCTGTGGCCCTTTTTGGGAGGGGGAGGACTGCCTTGTGCTGGGTTGGTTTGTCCCCTTCCAACTCAAATGCTAGGTTGGACTGGGATGGCTGTGTGAGGCTGAGCCCAGGTGGCAGCAGATGCTCTTTGACTTTCTTGTTGCTCTTTGCTACTAAGAGACACTTCCAGGGAAGCAAAATGACTGCTCCGTGAAGCCCACCTGCTTCTGCAGGGGCATCCCATACCCATCTTCTGTCTGTGGTGTAAGGGGGGAATGACTTCGGTGACCAGAGAGGTACAGACCTGCTGCTCTGGGTGAAAAGGGCTGCTGGACAGAAGCATAGGGCACAGGTCTTAAGATCAGCTGCCTCATGCATGTTTGCTGCTACCAGGGATGAATGATACCAGGTTACTATTGGGTATGGAAGGGGCAAGGGATGACAGGAGAGTGGATTAAAGAGTCCTGGCTACTGTACGAGTAGGAAGACAAGTACATTCCCTGGCTCTTAATGAACTTGGAGCAAAGTCATTCCCAATATCATAGGAGGCTCTGGTGCAGCCTGGGAGAGGCAGAAGTAGTCCTAGAATAACCTGCCAGGGGCATGGCTGTCACTGTGTCCTGGGTGTGTGGGTCTCACCCGGGGATGGATCTCTTCTGCAGAAGGACCAGTTTGGAATGTATGCGTTGTATAGTAAGAACAAGCCGAAGTCAGACTCGCTGCTGGCCAGCCACGGGAATACCTTCTTCAAGGTAAGTTCCTCTGCCTGCATCATGATTGCTCAGGGTGGTTGGGTCCTAAACCAATCTGTTTAAACAAACTCAGCTTTCCTCCCTGAGGTGGGCTCAGTGCTCCCTCTGCTTCCCTGACATGTCTCTGCACAGGAGTATGGGGGGAACAGGGCAGAAGGGCAGTGAGGGCTTTGGAAAGGAGCAAACAGCAGTGTTGGTCCTGTGGCCTTGCATTTCCCCAAGAGAACTCGTTTTCTCTGAGTACCCCAGTCAGGAGAGCTGTGGGTGTCAGTGCCTGCCTGGGGGCACGGGGAAGCTGCTGCCTTCACTCTGCTGCATTTCTCAGTTGAAGCAGGTGCAGCTGGGGGATAAGATGGACCTGGCCTCCTACCTGCTGAAACCCATCCAGCGGATGAGCAAATACGCCCTGCTCCTGAAGGACCTGATCAAGGAGTGCAGCGAGGCTCAGGAGCAGGAGCTGGGCTATCTCCGTGCAGCTGAGGAGATGGTGAAGTTTCAGCTCCGGCATGGAAATGACCTGCTGGCCATGGATGCCATCCGTGACTGTGACGTACGTTCCGGTGTCCTCCCCTGCCCAGGGGGGCAGAGCCACACTTCTTCCCCTTCTCTAGGCTTGGGGTCTTTGGATTGTATGGTGAGCCTCCCCTCAGATTCCCACAGTGCTCAGGGTGCTGTGTGCCAGTACAGCCTAGCAGGACACTGAGGTGTGGGGCAAGGGAACAGTGGGGCTTGGAGGTCTCCTTGATCTGTCAGGACAGACGGCTGGGGTGCTGTTACCTGAGTGGGGTGAGCTGCTTGTCATAAACACACTGCCAGGTGCTCACCAGTGATGGGAGGCAGCCTGGCAGCCCTTGCACATGCTGTCCTGCAGGCTGTTTTGGGCCTTTCATCTCTTCTGAGATGGTGAAAAGAGGGTCAGGCAGTTTGCAAGAAGGAATTCAAGCTGATGCTGATGCCAGGGGTAGGGCAAAATTGTCTAGGTGGGACTTGAAGGAGAGTCATGCAAAGTGCAGAAACCCCAGGGTTCAGGGTGGAGGACGATCAGTCTTGGGCAGGAGGAACTGAGGAACTGGCCTTCTGACCCAGATGTGCTCCTGGCTGTTGATGGGATTCATTTCCTCCCCAAGGGAAAGCTCTGGCTGCTGCCCGCAGTTGCCACCTCTGAGGTTTGTCACAGATCTGCACAGGGTGACAGAAGAGGGTCATCTGTGAGTTATGCCTGGGAGAAAGGTGCAGCTCTCCCCTGAGCTTGGAGCCAGTTGTTTCAGCCTGATGTGGTTCTAGCAGTGCCTTGCAACCCTACCTCTTCAAGAGTCCTAAGATACCAGGTAGCTGCCACTTCTTCACCACCTGGGCCACAGCCGTATGGGACCCTGTTCTCCAAGTCAAGGTGTAGGGCTGCCTGGATCATCCTGCTGGAGTCTCACTAGGATGTCCTCTGTGTCCAGGTAAACCTGAAGGAGCAGGGGCAGCTGGTGCGTCAGGATGAGTTCACCATCTGGCTGGGCCGTAGGAAGTGCCAGCGACACGTCTTCCTCTTTGAGGATCTGATCCTCTTCAGCAAGCCCAAGAAGATCCAGGGTGGCTTTGATGTGTATATCTACAAGTGCTCCTTCAAGGTAAGGGCAGCTCTGCCACACCCTCTCGTGTGGGAGGTGTCCATGGCTGTTTTCCCCATGGACTTGCCTCTGAAATGGGAAGCAGGAGCACCTTCAGCAGAGGAGCTGCTCCCACCACTTCTAAGCCTTCTCCAAGCCTTGCTGTGAATCTAGAAGTGAATACTTCACACATTAATGCCTAGGCCTTCTCTGTGCTGTGAGATGCGGGGCCAGCATTTTCTGAGGGCCAGGGAGTGTGAGGGAAAGGCAGTGTGTGTGTGTGGCAGGGAAGTGGTGCTAACTGGATGAAGCACTGGGAATTGCCTGAGCTATGTGTGCTCAGCTGTGTCCAGGTCATATCTGCTCCTGACAGGACCTCAGGCTCTTTCCCATTGGTGTGCCAAGCTGGAGGTAGCTCTGGCACAGGGTTCAGGCAGAGTTTACCCTTTCTGCTCCTGGTGCAGCGTGGTTGATGCTTTGCTTTTCCTCTTCCTCACAGACTGCAGACATTGGTCTGACGGAGAACTCTGGAGACAGCGGCCTGCGCTTTGAGATCTGGTTCCGGAGGCGGAAGTCCAGCGACACCTACATCCTCCAGGCCAGCTCAGCTGAGACTAAGCAGGCCTGGACCAGTGACATTGCCAAGATCCTGTGGCAGCAGGCAGCCCGCAATAAAGGTGTGATTCCTCCCTGGGGCGTCTGTGCCGCAAAAGGTGCGGGAGCCCTGTTCAGCTCGTGCTGTCCTGAGTAGGTTTGGAGCCTGTTCCCAGGCAGCTCTGTGCAGCAAGCAGCTGTGTGCTGGCATGCAGCCTCAGGAGCATGTGCTGGGCTTGGCTGGGCATGTCCCTTCCCTGCCCCTCATCCCCAGGGAGCTCAACTAGTCCAAGCTCTGTGTGACTGTAGACACCCACCTGGACTCCATGAGAGAAACGGGAGACAGGAGCACAGGGTTCCCTGCCCAGTGAGCACGGGCTGTGCCCCTGAAAGACTCGCTGCTCTCCCTGTGATCTAGGCCACTACTGGAGTGGGAGCTGCCTGAATCAGGCTGACTGAGTCCCTCCCCTTCCCCCCCAGGCTTCCCGCTTGGCAGGACTCTACTAGGTGGCATGGCACTGAGCTACTTGGCCAGAGCAGGGCATGATTGCTTGTTCCTGGAGACTCTGCAGGGCTGGGGAGCAAGGGGAGAACAGATCCAATCTCAGCAGTTCAGGAGCAGCCAAGCTCAGGAGTGCTCTATCCTGGAGCTGTGTAATGCCTGTGGGGAGGGTCGGGTCAACCTCATAATGTGGCTGTGGGTCTCTTCCTCTCCAGAAATCCGTATGCAGGAGATGGTCTCCATGGGTGTGGGTAACAAACCATTCCTGGACATCAAACCCAGCGAGGCAGCTATCAATGACCGTGCTATCGATTACATCATGAAAGGCAGAGGTAGGTGCCAGCTGTGCCTTCCACCTTGCTTTGTGTGAGCCAGGCAGGACTGGTTCTCAGGGCTTTTTTTTTAATATTTTCTGGCAGGTGCCAGGACCAGAGCATCGATCGCAGTGTCTCAGTTTGACCATTCCAACCCATTCAAGAGGACGCAAGCACAGCTCTCCGCTGGCAGCACCCACACTGCATACAACCCTTCCTCCTCCTCTTCCCTGCTGGGCCCCCTCAACCTCCACATGTATGTGAACCAGGCTCTGCTGCCAGAAGTCCTGCCCCCCAGATGCCCCTTTGACATCGGCACCTGCATTGAGGAGGATGAGCTGGAGCACGAGACGAGCAGCCAACCGTCCCTGAGTACGTGTGGTCCCGCTGCTCTGCGGCACCCGGGAGGGGTGGGCTCGTCCCCTCACCTTGCTCTGCACTGTGCAGTCAGACCAGGCTTTTGGGGTCACAGCAGTGCCCCAGACAGGGGCACAAGGGCCCTGCCCTTCCATGCCAGCTCTGTTTCAGCTTCCACAGGGAGAGTTAGCTCAGACACAGGGATTATAAGGTGCTGGCTGAGCTGCAGCCGTACCCGTGGCAGCCTTGGTGCTGAGTACTGGTGCTGCTGTGGCCTTGGGGACTCATGTCTCTGCCCCTCTGGTATGAAGCACTCTGTCCCTTGCCCTCTTCAGCCTGGTCCAGTGACTCCTTGGCTTCCCTTGTGTGAACTTCCCTGGCCAGCCCATACCAATCTCCAGCATCATTATGACTCAATTTCCTTGTGTTGTTTTGTTGCCTGGGGCTTTAAAGAGGACAAGACAGGAGTGTGGCTGATCTGTGGGCTTTGTGTGGCCAGTGCCTCTGCAAACAGGTCATATGCAGGCCAAATTCATGGTTATCAGTGACCTTCCTCTCTTTCCCCAGCAACAGAGAGCTCAGAGTCATCGCACTGCATGTCAGCCACTGGCTCCAGCGGCTCCGACAGCGGCTGTGTCTCCAACGTCCCACAAGAAAGCTTCTGTGAAGACATGGGCTCGCCCCCCTACGTGCCCATAGGCCCACAGCACAGCTCTGCAGTGGAGGGAAGACCCAGGTTCACAAACAGCCAGTACATTTCTGCAGTAAGTGCAAGCAGCCAAAACACTGTCTTCAGTTTGCCTGTTCCTGCAACTGCCTCCCCGGTTCCAGCCACTGCCTCTCACGGGGGCACCGAAGATGCTGCTTTTGGGCTCGGGGTCGCTGTGGGGAAGTGACATTTCCCCTTGCAGAGACTTGGCTCCTCTGGGGCAGGCAAGAGCCCCTCTGGTGCAGGAGCCACCCCTGTGGTGGCCAAGATCCCCGAGGAGATGAGCTGGAAAGGACCTGCAGTGCTCGAGGCTGCACAAGGAGGGGATGCTGCACAAACAGGAACTATAACGCTGTCGTGGGCTGGGGTACATATGTTACCTCCTGGGATGGCTGGAGCTCTGCTGCAGATGCTGCCAAGCTCCTTTCCTGGGAGGTTTGGGCCTTTTTTGGGGAGCAATGAGATGGAGGAGCAGGAGCCTGTTGCTCTGAGATGTCAGTGTGTCTCCTCTTACGTTCCTGAGAGTTCTCAGCTGCTTGCCTTCCCACTAGATCGTATCCTGATGCTGTTGTCCTCTAACCCTGTACTAATGCTGGCTTCTCTCCTCTGCAGAAAGCAGGCCAGGTCACCAAAAGTCACTCGAGAATAGTGTGAGCCCCTCGGCCCCGCCTCAGGAAGTGGAGTTGTTGTAAGTAGCCCCTGAAGGGGATTTTCCAGCAGCTCTGAGGGCTGGTCAGGTTTGTCAGTAGCTCTGAGTCAGGGGAACCTCACCCTCTGCTTCTTGGTGAGTTTTCCCCATGCATTCCTGACTGGTCTCTGAGGCTCTGATCCATGAGAAGACCAGCTCCCATGGAACCGACACTTGGAACAGCCAGTCTGATCCGTCTGCCTTGCAGAAACAGAACAACCAAAATCTCTTTCAGGTAGTAGAGGCTTGAGCACCACCTAGTCACCAGTGTTCAGATGAGCTGCTTTCCTCTGAATGCTACCCTCCTGTCTAACCACTAATCTGTTTCTGGTGGCTGTTTGCCAAAATCCTACTCCGAGTCCCTCTGAACTGCCCTGGGGAGTCCACAGTATTCTCCCCAAGCTGGATTTATCCCACAGTTCCCTTTGAACCTCCAAAGGAAACTGCAGGTCAGGCAGAGGAACCTGCTGGGCTATGGTCAGGATGTCCTGAGGGAGCTGCCAGATGTTGCTCCTGTACTTAGTGATTTTGGGAGCATGCCTTGTCTGTGAGGAAATCACTGTTGATCTGAGGAAGGGTGAACCCTGACAGGACTTGAAGCCAAGCAGGGCTTCTGTCATGTGGGTGGCAGCCCTTGGAATGTCACATCAGGGGCCACACAAACTAGCCTGCTCCTGGCTCAGCTCTCCTCTCTGTCCTTAGGGCTGAGCCTCCCTTTCCACAGGGAGCAGAGGGGTACGAACGCCGGGGGCAGGATTAGGGCTTGAGTGATGGAGGCACGGGGTGGCAGATGGCTTGTAGGTTTGGCACCGTGGGGTGTTACACACACACAGGCCCGTGGCTTGTGATCTGCAGGTGTTCATAATCAGCTGAACAGAACTAGCCAAGGTGCAAATTTAACATCCAGAGCCCCTTCTGGGGGGTCACAGACAAGACTTTTGGAGTGGCCACAGAAGCCACAGGTTTGCTGGCCCGTGTAGGCTTTGGGCGAGTCCCGAGGCACAGAGACAGATCTCCATGTGGGGGAAGAGCCGTGTTTCTCCTGCAAGGCTCTTCCAGTAAAACATTCTTTCCCCACCAAAATTGAGCTTGGACAAATGGTGGTTTTCAAGCGTTTTGCAAAGTCACTGCTGGCCAGGACAGAGGGACCTGTGGGCTCCTGCCACGTCACGGGAGTGCAGCCGGTCTAACCCATTGCACGGTGCTGTGTTCCAGGTTTGATTGCCATTTCAAACTCCCTGAAGACCCCAGGCCTCTGACCAGCAGAAGGAGACAGTCTTCACCCATGAAGATTTTTTTTGGCCCGTACTCAGGCTCTTTCAAACAGCCCAAAACCTGACCTCTGCCTGGGGGGAAGTCCCAAGAAGGTTTCTGTCAACTACACTTAATAGCTTTGGTGTTGGATGGGACCTTGGGCATTCAAAACTTGTTGCCCCTATATTTATGAGTAATAAGTAACATAACAGTTTGGATAAAAAAAAATGTATTATTTTTAAAGCTAAGAGCTGTACAGATTTTTGTTACAAGTGACTCTGTTACTATTTGTTGTGTAAGCTGCACATTTTATAAAGTTTTTGGAAGGGCATGAAATGAAACTGAGGTATTTAAGAAAAGTAGTGTAACTTTCTATTTCAGGGTTATATTGACCTGGACTCAAGATGTAACGTCCTTCCTTATGTTCTAAATATGTCTATTATAGCAATAATTTATTTTCTTGGCTTAACACTTCTGTTTTAATAAAAGCAGTTTCATTGTTGTAGTGAATTGTTTCTTCAGATGGTTCTTCCAGTGCCTCAGTGCTGAGCTAATCTCTGTCATAACCATCTCGCAGCTCTGCCACTCTCCCTGTGCCATCTCTGCACTAACCAACTGCCAGCTGAACCTCGAAATCCTCAGCACATCTGCCAGAAAACGGGAAGATTTCCCAGGTAGAGACTCCCCTGATGCCAGTGGGAGGCCAAGGCAGGCTGAGGAGTTTGGAGCAGCCAGCAGGGGAAGAGGTTCTGGTGGAGGTCTGGAGGCACAGGCCACCAAAGTTCCTGGCTCTGATTTAAGCCACTTAGCCCTTGTAGCTGCTGTCCCAGTGCAAGTCTCTCTCTCCCTGCTGGGCCAGGTCCCAGAGGCTCCATTCAGGCTCTGTTGTGCCTTGTCCTGGCTGAGCCCCTGGTTTTGGGGTGACTGGCTGCTTGCTTCACTTCTGACTCAGCCCCTCTCCTGGTACTTCAGTCGCACGGTCGTGGCTTGTTTGAGGAGCTTTGGATGGTGCTGGCATCCGAGACCAACAGGTTTTGAGTGGAAAGTCTTGATTATAATGCTGAACCTTAAGTGCATGTTGTTTGAAGTAATGCAGCATAACTGGAGGATAAATGTGCCCTGTGTTCCAGGGTGGCTTAGTCACGAGTAACACCCAACTCACTGCGAGGCCGGGACACCCTCCCTGTTCTTGGAGGAAACAAAAATTAGCATTTTTGGAAACAGTAGTTATTTGCTGCCAAGCTCCTGTTTACTCCTGGTTTATGCAGGGCTATAAATCAGGCTCCCCCAGGTGTGAGAGGAGTGTCACATTTGGCCTCAGGAGGAAGATGGAGCAGTACTTTATTCAATAAACTGCAATTTTCTCCCCTTGGCAGTGCAGCACTGCAGTCTGGGGTGTCACACCCCACAGCTGCCCTGGAGACAGTGTGCCTTCAGGTTTGGAAATTCCTGTACTGTATATAAAACACTTGTTTATTTTTAATAAGCTGGATGTTTTTTTAAAACCTTGTTCTTTTTTCAAACAGCGAAGAGAACACAGTTGGACACCTTTGCACAAAATTGGGTGTGAAACAGTTACACAGGGAATATTTTACAAATTACTGTTTTGAGATAATTGCTGGGTTAATGCAAGGTTTTTGGAGCTGTCAAGACAGCAATAGCTGATGTTGTGAGAGGGAGAGAATTTACTGATGCAACAAGAGGGACATGACATTTCCTGAATTTCTCAGTTTCTAAGGTTTCTGCATTGCTGGAAAGTTGTTTACCTGATACTGTTTTTTCAGGGTTGGATTGATTTAATAAAGGTTATTTTCTTTGTATGGCTCTTGTTTGCATTGTGTCATGGTTTCAGCAGCAGAGTACTGGGGGCAGAGTGAAGCAATGTTTCTCTGACCCAACCCAACAGGTTGCTGGGGTGAGGCTGGTGCTGCCTCTCATTTTAATACCGAAAAGTACATAAAATTTTTTTTTCTCCCCTTTTCGTATCTGGCACCCAATTAAATGAAAAAAGTTTTGTTTTATTGACATAAATAGAACTTTTCCCCTTGCCTTCCTTGACTTCCACAGAGTCTGGACCGTGTGTCAGGAATCCCAGATTAGATGATACATTTTTGAAAAGGTGCAACCACAATAAATGAGCTCCTAATCCAGAGGTGTTCAGCACCACCCCTTAAAATCTTTTTCAAAATGGATATTTTTCAATACTTTTTCCAGCTATTGCCCTTCTACAAGTTAAGTGACAGTCTGTCCCTTCTCCCCCCCCATGATTAACCATGGGTATTGATAAAATCTGACAGTGAAAAGCTGGGATCCCACACTGCTCTGTGACACTCACGACACCTCCTGTGGACAGTCCATCATGGCATTTTCCCTAAATAAGCTTGGGGGACTCAACTCTCTGCTAGTAAGTTATGGCATTGTGCTTGGCCCTACCCAGTTTATCCCCCAGTTCCCAGGCTGGCCATTCAGATGTTAGAGCCATAAAATCCTGGAATGGTTTGGACTGGGAGGGACCTTAAGGACCATCTCATTCCAGCCCCCTGCTGTGGGCAGGGACACCTTCCTCTAGACCAGGTTGCTCCAAAGCCCCATCCAACACTTCCAGGGATGGGGAATGCCAGAAGGGTGGTTGGGTGGAATGTGGGGTATTCCCAGGACAGGGGAGTTTTGAGCCCTCTCTGTTTCTGGTGATTGATGGATTCCACAGATCTGACAGATCGATCTGCCTGTGGAGGGAGAGGGCCCTCCCTAAGCATCCCCCGTGTTCCTCCACACCACTGCAGCTTTGGAAAACCTTGATCAGCCTCGGAGCAGAGATACCAGCAGAGGGGGCAGGTGGGGTGTTTTTCAGCTGGACTAATCCGACTTTACTGGTCCCGCTGTAAAAAAAACCCACAAAAATCTGAAGAGAAGGGCAGTTTTCCTTTTTGCTAAAGATGTGCAGACAGTGGACCAAACCATTTTTGAGACAATTCCATTAAAAAAAAAAAAAAAGAAAAAAAAGGCTTAGAAACCAGAAGAAACCTCAGAGTTTGGATAAAGGAAATTCAACTATTAATGGATGAAAATACACATTTCGTGCATCCAGCCTGTATGGACTCGCCCTTCACTGGCACAAGGCAAAACTATGCTGTAATTACAATAAAAAACACTTGTAGCTAAATAACAGATTAAATCTTTGTTTCAGATGTCCATTTAATATTTCCATTTATGCAGACACAGAATAGGAGAAGAGGAAGAACTGTCACTTCCCCATTTCACATGACAGTAAATTCAGTGGTGTCCCACTAGGAGAAATTTCTTTGCAGGCAAACTGAACCTTCTCAGGGAGCAACAGAAAGGGCAATCCCACCTTTTCCAGATTAAAATATTCATATTCAATAAGATCAGGCAGCATAAAATTGTCCTCAAGCACAGCAGCTGCTCTTTTTAACTAGTTAATTAAAACCAAAACCCAAGTGGTGACCATTGAATGAGCTCTTACAGAAAGGTCAGGCGTGAAATTTGGAACATTTTCTGTGCTCACTGACCAGGGCAGATGAGTTGAATGTGACAATTATTTGTTTGGATACCTGTGACAAACCTTGCCAGAGTTATATACACAAACTCTTTGACATCCTTCTAGAGACAATATTATCTAAGAATGAAAAAAAAAAAAAGTCTAGGGAAGCCACATAGAAAGTCCCACTTTGCCTGCCAGGAAAGGCTGTGGCTGCAAAATTAATGCTAATACAATAAATGCAATTCAGCAGAGCTGAGAAAATCTAACTTTTGAGCTCGGTGTGTAAAAATGAAGGTGCCTAAACACAAAATCATCTTGGTCAATAAATAGTCTGTAATTATCAGAGTGATCCTGAACAGGAGCTTCTTTCCACAGCAGAGATTCAGGAAATGGAGCGACTTGACTTTGAGGCTTGAGAAATACCAGTCACTGACATAAAAATGAGTTACCTCTTCTGCAGATCCTGTGACACTCCCTGGTTCCTTCACACCGAAGAGGAAAACGTGTCAAGGGGCAAGAACAGACCTGTAAATTCTGAAACAACATAACATTTTATTTTAGAACCCCATTGGGTTTTGCGTTTTATTTTCCATTCCGTGGTGAAAAATAAAAGCATGGGGCAAATGACCTGGAGCATTACCTTCCATTCCCGTGTGTCTGTGTGGCCGTGGGTCGTGGCAATCAGCAAATTGTGAGGGTTTTAATGGTGTAATCCCTTGGAACAACCCAGTTCACAGCTATCCTGGGGTTGTTACACAGAAACATGGCCAATGTTCTCTTAAAATGTTCAAACAATGGCAGTAAAATGAAAATAAGCACCACATAAATTCCCCCACAGCCCTGGACACGCCATTCCACAGTTAGTTAGGATTTTGAGGTGCAGATATTTATTACTATGTCAGTCACAATCCTCTTGGCAAGACAAAATAATTGGATAATTTGGATATTTGGGGAAAATTTCTTCACCAAAAGGGTGGTCAGGCATTGGAACAGGTTACCCAGGACAGTGGTGGAGTCAGCATCCCTGGAGGGATTTAAAAGCCATTTGATGTGGCATCTGGGGACATGGTTTAGTGGTGGGCTTGGCAGTGCTGGGGGAATTGTTGGACTCGGTGATTTTAGGGGGCTTCTCCCACCTGAATAATTCTGTGGTGGACGTGGTTTAATCTGTTGTCCGCTAAAAACAGACAGAAAAGTTCGGTTCAGGCCTGAAAAAAAGCCTGCCTGCAGCACAGCAACCACAGCCAAGGAGCCAGAGGTTGTACTGACAGTGGACAACACAATTCCTACAGCAGAAAAAAACCGTGGGGGAGGATGACACCTGATGCCTGGAATGTTTTTAGGCTATTTCTCATGCAAGTGGCCACAAACAGGGAGTCAAAAGCATGTCTGGAAAAGGATGGGGGGGAAACCCCACTCTAAATGCATGTAAGAATTGAACTTACTTGCTTTTAGAGACAGTTTGTAGCTCTAGACAGCACTGATGATCAAAACTCATGGTGCAGAACCACAGTCAAGTTGCCCTCACAATATGCTTAGCTGAGAGCTTTTCATACATATACTCGTGATCAACTTGTTGCTGATACTGCCCAACAATTTCAAAGCAAATTAAATATTTAAATGTAACACAGGAAAAAAAAAAAAACAATGAAACAACCTTTCAGGCAAGAAAGATGAAAAATTTAAGAGAAAAACAACCAGACACTAAAATCTTGATATTTCTGAATTTTGGGGCACAGTGGAAGAGGGACAGCACCACCAAAACCCCCTCTCCCTACCATTGCTCTAAGGAAACTAATCCCATCCCATCAGGCTGAACCCTCCCAGAGGCCTGGAGGAAGGGGCAGGGCTGCAATTTATCTTAAAAGCCAATAATTAACACAATGCTAACATGACAGATCTCTTTAATTAGATGCTGTTTGTGTCATTTGTCTTAGAATGAGAAACAGGTGAGCAGCAAGATCCAAGGAATAAAAAAAGCCAAGGAAACCTGGAATATGACAGCTCATAAATTAACTAATCAGTTTTATCAGGCAGGATTTTTTGTTTTTAAAAAAAAAACAAATTTAAAGGGCTTTAGATAAAGATATAGGAGTGGTCATAAATATTTTAATATTTTTAATATTTTATTAAATATAAATTATATATAAAATATATATAAAATATGTATTTGTATAATTATACATATAATATATATTTATATAATTATATATAAAATGTGTATAAAATATAAATTATAATTTATAAAATATTTTATTAATATTTTATAAATATTAATATTTATTAATTCTTAAATATTTTAAATCTCTTTCAAAATAATATTTTTAAGCTCTCTCTGGGGACAAGGTCAGCATTAAAAAAAAAAAAAAGGAATGTCAATATGAATGCAGGCTAACTCCACACCTTAATATCTATATTTTATGCATATCAATAATTTCTACATTAAAAGTTAATATATAAATAAATCTGTACAATAATAACTGCATTCCAAAGCTATGCCACAGCTCACTGATGAGTTTGTATGTCTTTAACATTCCCTTGGGGTCACCCATTATCATTCTGTGTGTTATTCCTGGAAGTCTCAGCTGACATGGAGCTGATTTATTTAATTTCTTTGTTAATAAGCATCCCAGACGGTGGTTTGGAGGCTGGGTTTTGTGTCAGGTTTATAATTTTGGAGCTGTCAGTCTCTCTGACTTTCTCTCTGGGTTGACTTCTCTGCAATTAAAAACTTACAGGGGTGTCAAAGCCCTGGTGGATGCTTTTAGATGACAGATCTTACAGGGAGGGTGGAAGAAGGGCGGCCAGATGGTGTTTTGGGATAAGGCAGAAAAATAATTATTTATTTTCTGAAAAATAAAACATTAAATAATGATATTTTCATTTTCAATAAATAAACACTGTATAAACAAATGCCTGGTCACTGTTGTCCTCTCCAACCTGTGCAGTGTGAACCAGCTGACAGTTCCAAGCTTTGCTATCGGACAGATCCCGTTTTTAGACGGTGCCTGTGGAGTTTTTCAATCCATATTCAGCTCTCTTTGACACCCCCCGTGTCCCAGCCGTGCTGGCCCAGCCGCTGCCACACAGAGGAGCTGCTCAGCTGTCAGGCGGCCCCTCCTGATTCCCGGGAAAACAAACGGAGAGCAAACACTGCCCTGCCTGCCTCCACCACCATCTTCATCCTCACTGAGTCCCATGTCCAGCCCTGGAAGGATCCGGGGCCGGATTCTCCACAGCAAGATTTCCAGCAGCACTTCCCACCCTTTGGATGGTCTGCAGGGACATCAGGGAGTGCCGTGGCTGTTCCAGTGTCCT